TTAATGAACACATTGAACAGTTGGGACGCAAGAAACGCGATAAATTTCGGGAATTACTTGACGAAGTAGGCGCATCGACCGAGCTAACGGCATCCTGGAAAGACATTAAGAAACTGTTGAAAGACGATCCTAGATACTTGAAGTTTTCTTCTAGCGATCGAGTACGTAGTTTAAAATTAAATGTAAAAGAGATTTAGAAATTTTTTCATTCTTTTTCCGTATATATTTATTCCATATGTATTTTTATTCGTTTCAGAAATGCGAGAAGGAGTTTAAAGAATATATTAAGGACAAACTCGTCGCTGCCAAAGCCGATTTCAGAGAGCTTTTACAGGTGTGTTTAATTAATTCACAATACATCGCTTAAAATTCTAACGTGACTATTAGTCAGGAACGTGCGTTTTTTTTTTTTTTCAGGAAACGAAACTGATCACTGACAAAACGTACAAAAAAGTTCAAGAGAACAGCTCGCATCTAGCAGAGATCGAAGAAATTCTGAGAAAGGATCGCCGATTTCTCGTGCTCGAGGCTGCAGCCGCCGAACGGACTCGATTATTAATGGGCTATCTAGAAGAGTTAGCACGTAGAGGTCCTCCGCCACCTCCTACTGCTTCGGAACCATCGAGAAGATCAACTACAAAGTAAATTTGAATACGCAGAACAAAGATGACAAAACTTCACGTTTTGTTCTCTTAAATTCAAACGTCGTTATTCTTTTCTTAAACGTCTGTTTCTGTTTCAGCTGAAGAATGATCTACATCGAAGATGCGGTACACATATGACACATAACAGAAATGAATGAATTTATAGCTGTAGTTAAATTGAATTACTTTACACACCGAATTATCGTCTGTATAGGATTCAATAAAATTTAATGAATGCCAATTCTACACAAGATTATATTGCATTGTGAGATATTGTAGCGCAAGCATATATATTATTGTTGAATAATATTAAATGAAGTTCTTCACAGAATATCGGTGAACCCCGTGTAACATAATTATTTTACAGTGCAAACACTATATTCTGTACGCTTGTATCTCGTCTAAATTACGCGCGAATTACAGTGGAATAAGAAATTGATTTTCTAATAATAAAATTAATAATAATAGCTATTGTAAAATTATTACAAAAATATTACTATCTTTTATCATTAAACAAATTACGTCATTCTCCAATAATCCTTGCGGCTCTTCGATATTATCCCTTCAATATTCAAATTATCTAACGGAGTATTTTGTTTAGGATATTATCTCGACCTAGCGCCAATTATTTCTCTTTATATAATATAAAGACAAACATAAAGATGAGTTCCAGTTTGTAAAAGAATTCATAAAATATGAGCAATGATAAATAGAATTTCTCGTTAGCGCGATTAGTCAATAAAGGCATTCTAATTTATATTGAAAATTTTTATTACAATACTATTTTTTTTACGATGTACATACTATTATTAAATTACTTTTGCAGAAATTAACTTTATTATAAAATAGAAATTTTCGTTCATTAGTTCCTGTACTGCATCTTAGATGGCGACACTGACGTGATTTATACATACCAAATGACTAATATAGAAATCTCGGTGATTTCAATGCTTGAATATTAGAGATTCTAATATCGGAGAGTTCAATGTGTGCATAAGTCAATTTTAAGATAAACATTACGCTCATTGATATTTTAACATCAAGCATCATTAGAATGATGAAAAATAATTGAAAATCATTTGAAAATGTAAATATATTGAAATTATGTCTCTTTTTTCATAATTTATAATACATATATACATTCCGAATATAAAATCCTAAAGAAATTCCAAGTAACGTTAAGCGCAATAATGGTGAATCGAACGCTCTGCTATTAAATAAATATTTTTTTAATATTATAGAAGCAAGAACCGCTGACTCCTTCAATAAGCTGATATATGTATTTAATTTCAAGATAACTTTAACTTCCGTTTCTTACGTAATTCTTTGTACCCTTTTTTGCACGTCGTCTCGATCGCGTGAATTATACGTTATATAGATTCGATCGCACATACACACTTAATGCTTCTTCTGGTTCCTACATACAGCTTTACAGCTATTGAAATTTTTCTCATGCGTTCACGATAATGTTTATCCGGACATGCTATCGACAGGTATCGTTGCCTAATAAACGCTACGTAGATATCTACATTATATATCCCCCCCGCGTTATACCGTTACGATATACAACGGCACGTTGCACTTCCTGCTATCGCGGTAAGAATATAAAATCAGTAAGCTAAACAGAGTGCCGGTGAACTCCTACGTAGCCGAGCGTTACGTCATTAGGTACGCGAGCACGAAACAATCGAGAGCAGAGGCTGAGTCTCACTTTGGGATTCTCACGGAATCCTTACGAAATTTTAACATCCAAGCCTACGTGCTCGGCGAAGATATTCTCCGCCGCGGCACTCGTGGATAGCAAATCTTTTACACGCACATATAAAATATTTGAGATGCTGCGAAGGGAGACACTGGCCTTTAAGAGGAGATGAAATTATTTAAATTCTTTTGTTTGTAGGAATTCAAGTACTCGTTGTTTTTATTGCCAGCACTGTAGATATCTTCCGAGTGAGCCTCACCGTCTGAATAAATCAAAGATCTTTTTTCTCTTTTTTTTTTTATAAAGAAAGGCTGTTAATTAAAAAACGTCATTATTTTTGTTTATTTCTGAGAATATATTCTCATTGAACCACGATCGGAGTAATCGCGGCTTTAATATATAATTATAGGGGATTGGAGGAATTATATAATAATATATAATTGAGGAATTATATTATACAAGAGAAAGTCCTTAATTATATTAGGAAAACGCAAATCTCTTCCGCGAATGATATGTGTCGAATCGATCTGCCATTTGCGACAAAAGTGGAAATGGATTTCGGGTTCGATTATAACCGAGCGCGTAAACCGTCATCGAAGAGATACCGAAGCGATCATCATCGATCGAATTACATCACGCGACGCCTCCGACTTTCTCCCGGTTCTCCCGACCTTGCTGCGCCTTTTTGCTTTTGCGTCTGTGTCCGGATGTGAATCAATCTATATACGTTCCCGCGGCGGACCCGGTAAAGGTCAGGCGCGACCGGTGAGGGTTAACGAACGGGTGGGGTAACAGGATGGACTTGAGAGAGCAGATTTTTGCGAAGGCCTGCCCGGAGGTCGAGGAAGTGCCGTGGGAGACCCTGAAATCCGATTCCCCGGCACGGCCGAGTCGTATTTCTCACCGTTCGAGTATAACGCGATCGATTAGATAGATTATTGCGGCATCAGCGTTTCCTATTATTAGTACGATCGAGGCCCGTGAAGCCGCGTGAAGTGCAATCCAGCGTTATATTGTCTGTCTTTATAGATCTCGACTTCTCTTGCACATACTGGAATCTTTTTCTGCTTGGAAATACGATACCTTTGTTACGGGAGCATTACTTGGGGTAAAAACGACGCTGTCGCGCGAAAAAGAATTATACGACATTTTCACGACGGAAAGCAAACACGAATTGTCTTCGCTATAATAGAATTTGAGATTTCGCTCAGCGTTCATTCAACCGAGAAAACAACGATCTCTCAGCGTGTGTCTGCCTTCGTGGCGGTCGTCGATCCTCAGGATCATTTGGGAGGCTTCGTCGATGGGCCTGCAGCTTCCACAGTTGAAGAATCAAGGTGAACAGTTGGCAGTAACAAGGTGATCTTATTCATACCACCTGGAGACATCGGCATGCACGAGCGTGCACTACTAGTAATTAAGTGTCGACTCGCATTTTTACGAGATTTAAGAATCGAAAACATACGCAGACACACAGAAGTATAATCTGAATTGATCGATTTTATTGATCGCATGAAGATCTGTTCGCTTCACTGTAAATTATTGACAAACTTACTTTGTAAAACAGAGATTATCTAAATCTATTCTATATTAAAGTACCTGTTTTTTTTCGCATTAAAGATCGTAAAGATCTTGTTTTCAAATAATAAAACATCCTCTTTTGAGATCATCTTCCTAAGATGCTTCACACATCATTATTGTGAAAAGGTGCTTTCCATCCAATCACATGTCATATCAAGAGATGCAGTATAGCGTTTCTCGCCAAGTATAATCTTTTCGTTACATCTTTTCATGTCAACTTTCCATTTAATTTATATCATTGTGTGTCGATGTAACTCTTGCTTCGGTAGTGAATTGAAATGTAGAGGGATGGGAAAAATAAACCCGGAACACAAAAAAATGAGCTCTTCGTGATACGTACTAGAATAAGCAGAACGAGAAGAAAAGTGATCCACATAATTAGATCGTACAATAAACTGAAAAAATTTATAAATCAATTTAAATGTATACGTTTGTATCACCAAATAATTTACATTTAAAAAATGTACAAAAAATACTACAGCTTCATTTACTTTTCAATTCTTCGGTGCGTATCGACTTCTGCGTGTGATATTATAAGTGTTTTGCATTTTATCGTATCGGAGTTGTCGAGCCAACTCCTTGTACATATCGTAGCATCGCTAAAAGTCATGCAAATGGAAAGGCGCCCGATGCAGAACTCGCACATTTTCCCGTGCAATTCCCGCGAGGAGATGTTAAGGACACCGTCATCGAGCGGGGTGGACCGCGCGGCTAGCCATTGTCATCAGGGAATCATCGTCGTCGTCGCGGCGCGGTCGTCCCCCTCTGCCGTCGTCGTCGGCCTCGCTATCGATTCTGTCCCCGCGATCATTTTCACGAGCGCCAAAACGCACGCAGCGGGCAAGACCCGTTGATTTTGCCGAGAAGGAGCCGAAGGCGGAGGAGAGACGCAGGAGGGTTTCGCACGGCCGTTTGGAAGGGACGGTGGATCCTGGCGGCCTCGACGTGCCAGCTCCGCCTCGAGCTCGCTCGCGCCTCGGCCAAGTGAAAGTCGGATTTTGCTTTCTACCCGCTCTACCCGCGCGTTCGCCTGGCCAGTGACAAGCGCGCCGCGCTCGCGTACGAACGCCCGCCGTTCTTCGGCCCGACGGCGATGGTCCTACCCGCGTGCGGCTAACGGCACTGACAGTTCTCACGTCCGCTGGAGTCCGCGGAACCGCCGACGCGACACCCGCGTCGAATGGGTCGACCGGTCGGGTCGCTGTCGGTCGCGCGATGAGCTGCGAGTGACTCGTGGGGCATCCGCCGCGTGCAAGCGTAATCATCGAGCGTCGCGAAGAGGCCGAGGAAGAGACATGCTGAGGTGCCGACGAGGAGCGGCCTCCCGCGGCCAGGTCCTCCTCCTGCGCCTGCTGCTGGTCTGCGCGCTCGTCATCGCCACTCACCAAGAGGGTAAGTTCACCCCCGCCGCGCCGGGGAGTTTTCATGCCAAGCTTAAACTTTAAAGCACCCGCGTTCGCCTCGCGTTCCGCTTGTCAGAGCGCGCTGATATTATAATGAAGCTCGCGAGCCTTTCATGGATAGGCTTCTCGGTGAACGTGAAGGATATTTATCCGGGGAGGGTAAACGCACGAGTGACGGGCCACGGCGACTGGTCGAAGGTTTCGGACCTTTGCACGCAAGATCTGAATGTCCGCCACGGTCCACCTCGCTGGAATGCATCGCGTGCTGATCGGTGAATTAGGAGTTTTCTTACGAATGCGTGTGTGATTTGGATAATCCATAATCATGGAAAGATTGACATACGTGAATTTTTCTTGCTACGAACGAGATTAACCGGAGACCAAAACTGTGTGCACCAACATTCATATATTTCTCAATATATAAATTTCCACTTCATAATTTCATATGTATAGCTCTTCGATTTTATTGTTCGTTATGTATAAATAATACGAATTTGATTTTTTATTTTAACCGTGGATTTTTTAATTGGATTTATTAATTGAGGATCTCTAAATTCGCAAATTCAAATCTTTTTGTATGCAAGTACAGTCTTCTGTCTGAAGAGATTTGTAAATTCACACAGTTTATATTCGTTACACGTTTATTTTTATTTTACTTAGTTTTATTTAGTTATTTATTTGTTTAATTCGTTTTTAATTTTTCAACATTTATTCACATACTTTTTATCTTTTCGCTTGACATTATCTTTTTTAGTTTTTGAAAATTTTTTGATGCTTCTCAGTTTTAATTAACAACAGAAAGCGCAGCATGTGCAGGATAGAGCCAATCAAATCGACGACTCACTTATTTCGATGTATTGATTTCTCCTATGGATTACAGCGCATCGTACATCCGTTAATATGAAGCGAGCTTACATCAAGATTAAGAACCGACGGTATCTCCAAATCCGCCTTACAGTCGATGCTACGTATTGTTCATACTTATGCGGCGCGTGTCCTACTTTTACCTCATTATACTTGAATGACAGATGGTTGGGGACGGTTTAACGCCAATTCTTCGGCGTGCATATTGAGAGAAGTCGTCGTCCACCGCGAATTTTCTCAACTAAAAACTTAATCGAAGCCCGCTCTTTGAATCGACCAAAACTATATATAAGAATTATACTATCTATTAACTTCCAATAAAATTTAGAGTCTTTTTATTTCCGATCGCTAATTGTCTGAAAATTATTAGCCCGTCATCACTGAGAAAAGATCGACTCTACCGTCTAACCGAAGAAATCGCGCCGTCAGGAAATGACGCGATAGAATCTATCGAGACACCTCGCGCCTCTTGCGAAACGCACGATGCCAAAGAGTGTCTCGCTACCTCTCGTTCCCGCGGATCCGACGGTCGTCGGTGCATGTCTGGACGCGGCTCCGTATAGCTACTCGATGTACTCGAAAATATCCCCTTTCCGCGCAACCGCAAAACGGAACGTCGTTCGCGCGCGAATAATGGTCGGCGGTCACGAGCCGACCGCGATGTTTGCCCGCGCTATAATTCCTACGTAATTCCGCGAGGTAGTGGTAGCGCGCGATCCGCGACACAATAGAATTGCGATACGATTGCGAAGTGGCGCGCGATAGCGGGTCCAACTCTCGGACTCCGGGGCCTTATTGTCGGGGGCCTAATAGACGACGGATTATCGCGATACACCCCGCCCTTGTCGAACGGACTCTCCCCCGTCCTGCTCCGCGATTTGTAATACCGCGGCAAGCGGGCGCAGCCATTCTTCGCAACCTTGCCTTTGTTCGCCATTGTTACGCTTATCGTCGGACGCACGCGAACACGACGGATTGGCAAATGATTGTCGAACAATCGCGCGCCGCGTTACGCATGAACGTGCGAGGAACGCGCCGCGTTGTTAACTCGCATTCTGAGATTTCCCGAGGCGAATGTGAACGTACGCGCGACGCTGTTATAGACATTAAGGTCTCACGAATTTGCACAATTTGCAGATTTCTGCAGTTACGCGAATTATCTCAGAAAACGTATTGCATTGTCTCTCGGCAATGATTGGCTGGATCTGAAATTGATTATTATTTCGCAGAAGCTATCTGTCACTCGATATGTCGTAACTTGTCATCTTTCAATGCCGAATGTCTGAGTATTTTCGACGTTTAAATGAAGAAAAAATGTATTTTATTAAGAAACATCGAGGCGTTCCACTGACGATTTTGCTCAAGACACAAATAAATTCAAGTTGAAAAAGTTGTTAAATTATAGTTTAACACAATATATACTAAAAAGCAAATTTCTTTTTAATTTACTCGATCAAACGCCAACATTTGATATATTTTAGCTGCAATGAAAAGAAGCAAAACAAATTGTCTCTTTAAATCTATTATCTTTAAGTCAAGGATGGCTATTTTTTATAGAAACAGGCGGCAACTACGAGGCATCAATCCGTGAAAGTTCCTCGCAATCGCACGTGACTTCAATAAAATCTCGCGCGGTGCGGCGGCGCGGCGCGGCGCGGCGAGGCTTCCTCGGAAAGGTCGAAGCAACACTTTTGCCCGCTCGAAACGCTCGAGCACTCGAAAATCTTCCGATGCGGTAGAAAGTGAAACGATCCGCGGGGTCCTCCTAATCTGTTATTCGAATCCGCGCGATCCCAAAATAGTCCCTACGTCACGCGGACAGCCGAGTGTCGTCCGGCGAAGTCCCTTTTCGCTTTCTCTCTCTCTCTCCCCCTGCATTCCTTCTTGCTTCTCCCGCCGAGCCCCCCTTTCTCCGCGTATTTCTCTTCATCTCGAGTGGCGCCAAAGGTCGCAGGAATTTCGACGGTGTTAAGGGCCGCGTTCCGCGGACCGATGGCAACGAACGACCTTCCACATTTAGACCGTCCTAACGGGTTGGCCCACAGATTGAAGCGGCAGGTATAATGGACACGATAGGGGCAAAATTCGCGTGTATATACAATTCGAGTTAGATGGAACGTATTGGACTAGCGTAAAAATATCGAATCCATTCCCGACGAGATTTTCCGCCGTCTCTTCGTTTCGCAAGGAGCATGCATTGCAGCGTCGATATCGCGCGGTGATATTTTGTACCGCAATCGCAATCGCCGCTGCCTTCGTCATGGCCGCGCGGAGGAGTAGTCCTCATGCACCTTGAAATGCCAAATACGTACGCAGATCTGGAATATAAATTGCAGGAATTGCGCATTGTAAGGGAGGGATAAGAGAGGACGCGATAAAAAAATCTTGTTTGCGCGTAAAACGACGTAAGACGGCAAATAAATACCTGTAATAAATAAAGATTCGCTGATCGAATCGCGATAAGATAAAATAAAACTATCCCATATGGCGTTTCGAAGAATAAATATAATATCCGAAAATATAATTCTATTTTTAATTTATACGAATTAAAATACAAAAATATTTCCGAGAGAAAGATGTTAAAAAGAAAAGACGAATGTTAAAATCCCCGTCGTAGTGCATACACATGCACTCGCGAAGTAGCTCAAGAGATGAGCGATTAATCCGTATCGGACGTTGATTAATGCTTGACCCACTTCGAGGGAGGTATTAGATAGATACCTCCGCGCTTTCCGTTTTCACGCGTACGCCTCGTTGTAATGCACACGGGCGCGCCTTCTCTCTTTCATTTTCCCCGTTCCTTGTGCATGCGACACGGAACGGCGATCAAGGAATTCGGAACGTCGTCGCCGTCGTCGTCGTCGAGTTGAGAAATGCGGGCACGCGGAGCTCGCTTTTATACATGACCTTCCTCTCGCGTCTCACTTCCCGGCGGCGTGTCCGACGCCTTTTCTCAATCGGATCTGATTCACGACGCCCATCCGATGATCCTCCACGGACGGTAGTCATCGGAGACGCCTCTCAACATCGCGAGCGAGAAATCGCGAGATTGGGAAAGTCTGACACATCGTTCGGAGGCTAAGAATGTAGCCTCCTTGAATGCTCCACCGAAGGAAACGCCGATTGCCTAACGAAAATTCGTGTTACAAAGCCGGAGTCCTCCACATTCGCAACGACGCGCGATCGTTTATCGCTTCGATATGAGAGCTCGCATAAAGTTCGACAATGAATGGTCTATACAGTCTGAAAAATCGATATACCATATAGACATTTCTTTATATGCAGAGATTTATCATATTTGTAATTGAAAATGTAACCGAGGCGCGTGACCCAAATTCTTTTTTTTTATCGAGAGTTTCAATCAGCCAATTTATTTCTTTTAATCTTGGAATATTTAATTCGATTAAATCTGAGATGATAGGGATTTATTTACAAATTTGCCTCCGGCTACTTAGGCCACACCTTAGGAGTCAATGAAATTGTTGACCTTTTAAATATTTCTAGGATTAAACTTATAACGTAAAGAAATTGCTCACGTAATGGCTTACTAAAATCACGTGATTTATGGACACATACGGTCTTCTTAAAGCAGTAGCGAAAAGCAACGGTTTTGCATTACGTAAGGCCGATAATTTCCGTACTCATTTAATCGCAATACACGGTTGCATCCCGTTATAAGATAGATCTTTATCATATTAAAATTGCTCATTGGGATATAATTTAGAAAATTCCTTTTGCGGAAAGAAAACTTGCAAAACTTGAGAAAGTGTAATAACATATGCGTAGCAAATTTCTCTACGTAATAGCAATAACGCGATCTTTCTTGGAGAGTTTGCTTGGAGCAGCCGTCGAGGAGATTTTAGAGAAAGTTTATAAAATCATATAAATAGGCGAGGAATAAAATCTAAGACGGACACACATATGTTATATTTACTGCTCGTCTATTACTCTCTCTCTCTTTTTCTCATTTTGTAGCTAGATGCAGCTACGCCATAGGTGCTAGCTACGTGTTTACTACCTGTCTATTCGTTACACTCTATTTCACCTCACGTTCTTTCGCTGCCGCTTCTCTTTCATTTAGGAAGTTTCCAAAGTGTATTAATTCAACTAGCGGTTAAATACATA